TTGCATTGGAGGCGGAAATGAGTAAAGAAGTAATACATCAACGCAACATGACGCTGAAATATAATAGTATTACAATTAGCTAACTGACAGAACTTCGAGAGAGACGCTTCGAACAATAACAAAGAACAAGGTACACACTCTCTCTCTCTCTAGTAATTCATTTATTTACGGTTTATTTAAAGATATATCAATGGCTCAGACTATATAGCATGAAATGGTCTGATAATTATTTAATAATGAATTAGAAAGGATGTGGAAGGAAGCGACTATGGTCTAACTTGAGGTACCGCCTTGGAATTTGCCCAGAGAGATAAGAGAACCACGCAACACGTCAGTCAGTCAGGTTAGCTAAGCTGAGATGTAGACCCGAATGCTAAGCGAAGTGTCACCCGCTCCGCCGAGAAGCTAGGCGGGCCCTACTTGTAGTACACGGCAGAGGCGCGTTTCGTCACCTTTGTCGCCTTGGTTCCTCGAGCCAGCAGCAGTTGGGATATGCCAGAGTGCATTCGGCAGAAGCGACGGTACGCCACGTCCAGAACAGCAGCTGGACCCACGGCGAGTGCTGTGGGAACACAGGCCAGCGGACAGTGAAGGACACCTACTGTCGTGGCACCGTGCCTGCGGTGTCACGGATCCTACCGTTCATTTAATGTTACGTTTATCCGCAATCTGACGACGCTGTCAATAACTCAGACTATGCAGGAAGGAATAATCGGAAGATAGTGAATAGTGAATAGTGAATTGCCGTGAATATCGAAGGCAGAGGTTGTGGATAAACTTATGGCACAATCTTGGAATTTACCCATGGGATAAGAGGTACAAAGTAAAGTTGTCCCTGTACTTAATTAATTATGACGCCACGAAGACGTATAGGGAGTGAAGGTACAGCTCCACCGTGGTCAGCTTCACGGCCCGGGCTATTTTACCCCCAGTATCAAGTGGACAGGAGGCTGGGTGGGCCCCAGAGCCGGTCTGGACGCTATGAAGAAAAAAACCTTACCTCTCTTAGGAATCGAGCTCCGGCCGTCCAACCCGTAGCCATACCGAGTAAGCTAAGTAAAACCACCTAAAACTTCAATTAGGGCAGTTTGTGTCCGGCCGAGGTTCGAACTAGGAGCCTCCCCCGAATACGAGTCAGAAACGTCACTACTCGAGCCATCTTACTCCGTTTTATATTCTTAACATTATGAAATGACGAACGATGAAATGAGGTTATGTAACGTGATATAATAATCATGGCCAGAGAAATTTCTTTTCAGTGTAATTAGTCCACACATGGGAGCCAATATAAGCCATCATGGGCGGAGACTGTACGAGGGAGGATGATATTAAACTGGAACGTCTGTACATAGTTTGCGAAGTTGGGCTGCGTTAACAACAGGTAGCATCCAAATGTCATTCTTTTGTGACGATGGTTGTGAACATTCAGGTTCCGTAATATAGGAGGAGTCTTTAATCACTTTCATTACTGCCACTTGATTATGAAAGACTCTGTAGACGGATTATACACTCAACATTCATTAATTCACTGTTCGCAGTTTTCGCATATTCGAGGTTCAAACACTGTATTATCATGGACTTTCTTTGAGAAATTTGCTGGGTGTGTCTTTGCGAACTTCACGCAGCTTCTCAGCATCTAACCCATGCGCGATAGGTCACGGGCCCGCCTCGGTTCACGCCCCGCTATCTACCGGCAATGTATCGCTAAGTTAGCGCATTACTTTTGTATTTCCCGCATGTCCCTGCCTCTCAACGAAAGTAAGTGATGTTAGTAGTGTAAATGGCAGCGTAAAAGCTGCGAAGAGAGAAAAAAATTATATGTAATTAATTGCGAAGTTGCGTCCATGACCATGGGCGCTGGCAGGGGGGCAAACCAAGCACCTCCCCTCTGAACTTCTTTTTGGAAAAAAAAAATGATGAAAACAGAAAACTCCATGGCCTGTAGTCCGCAAGCGAAATATACCGACCGAGCGACCGCAGCTTGTCGGCGAAGTTAGTGCCAACTTTTGCGGGTAGAGGGTGTCGCGTGTTCAGCGCAACGGATCTCCACGGCCGTTAATCTCGGTTTTCTTGACCAGATCCGCTATTTCCTTAAAACAGCTCTTCAATTATCCTTACGAGGCTGAGTGGACCCGTTCCAGACCCACTACTTCTCAGAAAATTGGTAGAGCCGGAAATCGAACCCGGGACCTCTGGATCTGTAGCCAGGAACTCCGACCACTAGACCGCAGATGCGGTCCTGAAAATAAAAAGACTATACAAAATATTAACTAACAACAATAAAATTACGTTTAAGTGTTGCGCGATGTATAATCCAATATAGAGACCTACAGCTATAAGAGGATTAATAAACACGTTTGTAAACGGCTTCAGTTAAGTTTATAATCAAGTTTTCTGGCTTTCGCCCCTTTGGAAAAGATCCCAGAGGCGTTATTCGCAGTCATCTCAAAAGCATACCTGGCGAAAACAGAAGTAAGTCCATACCTGGGATTCGTTGGATGGTTAGATAATTCGTCTTTTAGACAGTTAATTAGTAGCTCTACCTTCACGTTCTCTACAAATTTGTTTGACGTAACTCAGAAATTGCAACTTAACACTTATAAACTTTTCGGTTACTTTCACAAACCGGTGTTAACAAGAACCTCTTAACTACCAAACATTAAGTGCAACATGCCTCGTTTTGATTTATCGTGGGTGAGAGAAACGTGAAAAAATTAACTGTGATGCGTATTTTACTGTTAATCTGCACTGGGCTATCACTCAGAAGGTGCGCGCTAATGGAAGTCCATTAGGCACTGCGATATATTCAAGTGCATCAGGACCTACGGTATATGCCTGTGATCTAACCCACCCGCCTATTGTTGCATTGGAGCCAGTACTGAAGAGTTCTTAGCATAGCCGATGTTTGTTTATCCGAAATCCGCCCACACGGCCATCTCGTAATGAAGAGTGTTCTTAGCATCTCGGCATGGAGCATACTTTCGTGAAAGCATTTGCTCAGACTGACCCAAAGTATACTTCAAGCACTATCCGTACAGTGAGAATAAGTACGACTACGTCCGGATTGACGAAATACAGACACGAGGGAACAGTAGCAAGGGCGTCCACAGGTGAAAATGAATTAAAGTTGGAGCTGAACAGGGCCACAAGCCTCATTCGCAAAGAAGCTAGATGATTCATTCGTGAGATATTTATCAACGCAGTACCAAAGGAAGGAAGGAAGGCCATTCTGTTTTGAATCAGATAAAAGCACAGTTATATATGATGAACTAGAAGGATGGGGGAAAAAGGCGAGAAAGCTTCATGCTACTAACCCAGCAATCGTCTGAAGGGGCTTGGCAGAATAATGAAAAATCTCAGGCTGACTGATGCTTCAGCAGAGATACAAACCAGGGACCTCCCAAATTCCACCTAAAACCGTAACTTGCTTAAGAGAGAAGAGGAGGAGAAGAAGAAGAAGAAAGTAGTGACGATGGTGGGTATGTTTATGGTGAATGGTTAGGGTGAAATGATGCCCTCCGACTAGGCTTTACGTGGACTGACAACAAACTTCGTGAACTCGTCGCGATAAAAGTGCTACGTACCTCCTTCCTGAATAACACTGTGGTCGCCTACAAAGTACTACCCTTGGGAAGCTATGCGTCGACGCCAGCGTCTAGTCCACCCTTCAAAACAATTTTCGAACTAGTTTTGTGGAATGACCTTCAGAGCTGCCGCTGATGTCATCAGCGTCATCAAAATGCCTTCCTTGCAATATTTTCTTTATCTTCGGGAACACAAAAAGGTCACTGGAGGCTAGATCTGGTGAACAGGGAGGGTGTTCCAGCATAGTTATTTGTTGACCAGCTAAAAGCTCCCTCACAGACAGTGCCGGGTGAGCAGGTGCATTGTCATGATGCAAGATCCATGAGTTGGCAAAAATTTCGGGTCTTTACCGTCTAACTTTTTCACGCAGCCTTTTCAGTACTTCCAAATAGTAAATTTGGTATGCCAACGTCATAAAACCATACTGAGGTATCTGTCCACTGTTACCACGGCAAGCACACGGTGGCGAGTTCGCGAACTTTATTGTCATACCTCGTAAGTCTATGGAAATATTTCCACGTTGAAAGTGTGAGGGGGGAAAAATACGCCATTTATTTCGACAATTTCTCAAGTCTCGTGTTGTATGTTATAGAAATTTCAGACCGGAAGTGTTCATGATTTTATTTGTTGCGTAGTTCGTCCATCAACGTTTTGCCTCATAACGTATCGTTCTATTAGCGACAGCCTAAACGTGGAACAATAATAGGTTTATGAAACTGTGGGAGACGTTATCGCCGCTAATTCAGCAATCCTCTATTCTGTGAGTTCTTCCTGGAATCTCTTTCATGGCGGTGCCTGTATCTCACTCCATGTAGTCTCGAAAAGCAGGATGCGCAGTTAATAATATATCGGAAAGTATTTGGAAGGAAGTAGTCAGTATTATCCTGCGCATTCGCCTAGCGGAACTGAGTAAAAATACCAAAAATCATAATCAGGACAGCCAATAACCCGGTCGAGATTCGAACAGAGGACTTCCAGCCACGTCAGCCTAATCGGCTTGCGAGTTCTGGAACAAAATATTATACGTACATCTATTCTTGGTTTCCATATCTTTGCTTTCAAATACTTGGATTATTCATCATCGAAATATAAAATGATAAGTAAACAGTGAATTGAAAAGTGTATGGAAGGAGGCGGTGGTGCTGTAATTTTAGAATCCCTACATTTCCTTGGAGGAACTGAGAAAAACTACGAAAGATCACAGAACAGCCAGTGCCTGGGCCGAGACTTGAACTCAGCACCTCCTGAATACGAAGGAGTTGTAACCATTTGAAAGAGACATTAGGTAGTAAATTATTGATTATGCTCCCGGCTCTCGACAGTGCAGTCAGCTGTGCTTGTTGGCATCACTGCATACTGCTAAGGAACTTGTCTTTCATTATAATTATATGCCAGGGCGGGGTTTCCACACTTACAACTTGTAGCAGATGTGGTGGTGACGTCATCCACAACAGTCCAGCAACAGGGACACTCACCTGTAACAAAAAAAAAAACAATAAATGCGTCATTCTACTGTAAATTATTGATTTGTCTTTTTAAGTTCATAGTCAACATATGGGGGTACACTGTTTTGTGTGTGGATGTAAACAGGTTCACAGCGTTACCCCAAATGCAGGTCACACCTTCACACCTATAAATCGTGTACATTTCTCAAGAAAATATCTGCACTAAATCGGCAGAAAAGTAGTTAGTGTCTACAAGGTCTAGCCAGGGCTGTACCCAAGTTCTCTTTCGATGTTAACTGAACTGACCTGCGATCTGTTCCTAGGTCAAGTCTTCCCGGAGAACTGCAACAGTAGGCCTACCATGGTAAACGTTCAGGGGTTATCCTTTCTGCATCATTCCTCCAGTTTATTTGGTACTCTCGAATTTCTTCTATCATATTTAACCCACAGTTCAAAGTGCCAAAAAAAATGCATGACATAAAATAACTTACCTTTCAAACACGAAACTTCAGCAACTGCACTGTTCTATTTTGCGACACAGAGTTTCTACTTCAGTGAAAATTCCTAGAGGAACGTTCCATGAACGTTGCTTCACCTACGGGTTCACCGACAGCAGGCCTACCGACCGAGCGACCGTCGCTTGTCGGCGAAGTTTAGTGCCAACTTTTGCGGATAGAGAGTGTCGCGTGGTTAGTGCAACGAATCCCCACTGCCGTTAATTTCGGGTTTCTAGACCGGATGCCATGAATACATACAGACAGGTAAATCGAATATCCGGTCCATACCTCAAAATAGATCCTTCCATATACCTCAGACTTCATTATGCATACATAATCTGAGAATCTATTTCGTCTTCATTTGAAGATACTGTAACGAATATGACCACCGCTGGGTAACGGTTCGGTAAGCACGTTCCCGCTGCGACAAATAGACGCGGAACAGTCCATTGTTGGACAACGGTTGGGTAAGCATGTTCCCGCTGCAACAGATAGATGCAGAAACGGGCCAACTGTTGCAGGCGCTTTGCCCCGAGTTATAAAAGAGGGTTCGTAAGAGAAGTTGAGTGTTCAGCTGTGGAGTGTTAACCAGCGGACAACGGAAGCTGAAGAAGTGGCCGATTCGTAAATCAGAACCAGGTCAGTCACGGTGGAAGAGAAGACACACGTGGTCCCGTAAGGAGTGGACACTGATTGTGAGCTGTTACAATTGGTTGTGATTGTAATCGAAGTGCCAGTAAATCCAATTATCCAATCCGGAACCCCGGACACGTGACAATATTTAAGTCATGTTGCCGAACACATTTACTCGTTTATCAAATACAGAACAGGATGGAAACCATAAAGATTCGGTCTTATGAGGACGTTCGCACGAGACCGGGACACTAACCAGTCATGTAAACTGTGCTGTTACATCATCCAAACGTAACACTGAAACAAAACATTTGTACGACAGATAACATCTACAGTTGGAGCTGGGTCTCACGAGTTCTTCCCGTAATTCCTTTTTCATTTCTGCATATACAGAGCACACGAAACATAAAACTCACCATAATGTAAAGGTACTTATGTCTTGGTAACACCTTCCTGGTGCTGGTCACAGTAGCCGCGCGGTCTGAGGTATGAACTGTCTTCACTCGCTCGGATGCTGGGATCGAATTGCACTCAAGGCATGGATGTTTGTGTGTGTGCGTTTATTCTGTGTTTGTGTTGTCCTGTGTTTAAGTAGAAGCCTTGCGACGGATATCACTTGTCCAAGGAGTCCTATCGTCTATGAAGAAATGATTACGGAACTGAATAAAAGGCCAGAACCCTGAATGGGCGGGAAGAGCCACTGAAAGAAAAAAATCTTCCGGCTAGCGAGGCGTGGTCTGCTCGTTCACGTCCCAAAGGAGTGTGGTCAGTGGGCAATGTTTCAGTAAGCGATCCATAGGCCGCAGGAATACAGACTGTCTTTTTCAATGGCTATTCCAGCCCACTGAGGGCGCAGGAATACAGAATACGGGGCCATAATTATCCATAATGCTCTCATATACTCTCTCAGCTTCAGCAACGCAGAAAAATTCAACTAAAGAACTAGAATTAGGTTCGTAGAACAATAATGAATGCTCCTCTACGCTATCACGTCCAGACTGTTCGTGGTACCCACCCAGTGTCCTATCCAATGGTTACCTGGTGTTCTTTTCTCTGCAGGGAAAGTAGTCGGGGCGTGAAACTGACCGTTAGTTATTAGTTAGTTATTTTAGAGAAGGTGGGTTTCCCCATGCACCGCGACCAGTTTGATCTATTGTGCTTCCCTCTATGATATTCTACCAGTCTCTTTACCCTACCGATAAATGGTGCGTACCATCAGTCCCGCCGAGCAAGCGAGTTCGGCCACTTGCTTAGCGGTGTCTATAATGCTTCCCCCATCTATCAGAGGCCTTAGAGACTATTGTTGGGCGGGAAACGTCCTGGAATTTGGCTCAGTGATCCCCTTTGGGGATATGAGGTTCTTTTACGTGCCGTAAAGTTACGACACGGGACACACAGCTTAAAGTCCCTCCCGGAGGACTTGTTCCCTGAATTTTTCCGCCCTTAAAAATTCGACGACCTCCGCCGGGTATTTGAACCCGCGTACTACGAGTCATGAGGTGGGAACGTTACCTCTAGACTACGGAGGCCGCTTGAAACTGACCGTTACTTTGGTCATGACGAAAGTTGACTCCATTTCACCTTAACCTTTTACTGCCTCATACACAGCCAATTTTACTGAGATTCTTAAACGCAGTTTTTATTCATCTTTCTATTGAGGATTTACAGAACGTTAGACCAATTTAAAGTCAGACGGAGGTCTATATATAACTAATTTTATACCGGATTCCATGAAGTGTGATCAACTTTGAATTTTATCCGGTCGCATACAGCAGTCGCACCACCGTAAGAATGTGGTCATTGAAACTGAATGACTTCACGACTTTAATAATCTGACGCTACAATCAGAATTTCACTACGCGAGCTGCAACAACAATCATATCATGAACGACGGGGTCAAGTGAGCAGCTCTTCGGCTTCGTATGTGGGAGGTACCGCGTTTTAATCTTGGCCCGAAGACCTGACTACCCTCACTGAGATTGTTCGTTGCTTTCGTCACTCCCTCCAGGCAGTTACCAACACAGTGCCTCAAATTAGGCCACGACCTATTATCTTCACATCCTTTCCAATTCCTTACTAACTAAACCTCGTAGCATTTGATATTATATAATCTAAGCCTGTAGTCAGCGTCGTTAAGCCATAAATAAATAAATAAACATCCGGGGTTCGTGTAGGTCAGAAGACATTATCCATGTGGTAGAAGGAAAAAAGAGAAAGAATACATTTCTGTGACACTGCTTACAAACAGCAAACTCCGTGGCCAGTAGTCGCAACGAACTATACCGACCGAGCGACCGCCGAGTGTCGGCGAAGTTAGTGCCAACTTTTGCGGATAGAGGGTGTCACGTGGTCTGCGCAACGGATCCCCACGGCCGTTAATCTCGGCTTTCTAGACCGGAGCCGCTATTTCCTTGAAATAGCTCATCAATTATCCTCACCAGGCTGAGTGGACCCCATTCCAGACCCACTACTTCTAACAAAATCTTGTAGCGCCGGGAATCAGACCTGGACCTCTGGATCTGTAGCCAGGAACTCTGAACTCTAGACCACAGAGGTGGTCGTGCCACTGCTTACACTTACTTAAAACTAGCAATTGCTAGCAATCCCATCGAATTTGTTTTATGGAGTACTTTACACACCCCTGCCCATGAGTTGAGTGAGGTCTTCTCCCTTGTAACAGAGAGTTATACCTTCAGACACTTAAATGCAACCTGTGTGGGTAAAAGTGATAATAAATTGAGATTTTACGACAATGCGTGCGCCCTGTGTAAATTCAGATTAGACACTCAAAACACGGTATTTGACTTTCACTTGTCTACCTTTTACAGAGCAGCTTCTCCCCCCCCACCACCCTCCAACACCTAACCCCAGTGACCATAAATGCGCACAGTTCAATTTATAGCCATTTCTGATACTCTGCAACGTAGAGGCCAAAGAATAAGTTGGATAGTGACTCACAGCAACTTAGTCGTTATATGAAAGTAGTAAAAGACGGAAAATTAAGAATTATCCACTGATTTGTTATGTCTGCCAAAGCCATTGTATTCGCATTAACCGTGCAAACATGTCTATACTCTGTGAAACGTATACAGCGGGAGTTTCCCTATGTAAAATCGTTCCTACAGCAATAACACGCCCAACTGTTTCTTTGTACTGCGCGAACATACCGTGCCAGTGAATACAATCGTAATGAGGCGACTTTCATTCCGTCAGATCAAGTCCCGAACAGAAACTTTTCTCAACTTTCCTCACACTCCTGACGAAAATGTCGGACTGGAAGATTTACCTCAAAACTGGCCACAACCGCAACCTCTAAAACGTCTCAAGATCCATCACTTTCAGTTACCTGATACACTTCACCGACAAATTTCAGTAGTAGCAGCTGATACAGAGGGATAAAGAGACAGGAGGTTCGAGAAAACTGCACAATGAGGAGTTTCATAGCTTGTACTCTTCGAAACGTGTAATTAGAATGATCAAGTCAAGGAGGGTGAGATGGGTAGGGCATGTAGCACGCATGGGAGACGTGCACACAAAATTATGGTGGCATAACCAGAAGGAAAGAGACAACTATGAAGATCCAGACGTAGGTGGTCGGATAATACTAAAACTAATCTTAGAGACACAGGATGCAGTGGTATGGACTAGATTAATCTGGTTCAGGAGAGGGACCAGTGGAGGGCTCTTGTGAACACGGTAATGAACCTTCGGGTTCCATAAAATGCTGGGATGTGCGACTGGCGACTTCTCACGAAGGGCTTAGCTCTATGGAGTTAGTTAGCCAGCTAACAGAAAAACACTGTGGTTTTAGTCCGCAAGCGAACTATACCGACCGAGTGACCGCCGCTTGTCGGCGAAGTTAGTCCCAACTTTAGCGAATAGAGGGTGTCGCGTGGTCAG